AACGATCAGTTTACGTACTTTTCGTTGCCATACTTGACGACATCATCAGTGCGGCGTTAAGGGTCTGCATCGCCAAGTCTGGTAAGCGAACTCGAGGCCTAAGTGCTTATTCATCGGGTTCTTCTTTGAATACTGCGCTTCAATAAACTCACGTGCTTGCCGGCTTGTGGCTCTTCCGAGGAATTTGACGTGCTCCAGATCGAACTGGTGGCCTTCGGCATCTATATGCATGTACATCAAAGACTTCTTATCATGAAGGCGAATGGCTAGGCTATGTTCATGTAGCCGTGTGCCAAGCTTTCTTCCTGTTTATCCTACGTAGTATTTGTCACAGTTTCAACAACAGATCTTGTTGATTACATCAGATGTTTCCCGCTTGCTAAGTTTATCTTGAAGAGTTTATTTCGAATTGTCTCTGTTGGTTGGTGGACACTTTCAACTTCAAAAGTCTCACTGTCATTTCAGGAATTTCGTTGATGTAAAGCAACAGGGCTTATTTTTAAACTGTTGCATTTGTTGAGATGTGTTGTGTTGCTTTATGTGGGGTCAAGAAACGCAGGATGAAGCCTTTTGGGTACGAATTCCGTTTGAACAAGCTGATGAGCTGGTCTTCGTCCGCCTGTCTCATTTGCTGCGTGCTACAATGCGTCCATGCTCGTTTGAAGATAGCTAGCACGCAGCTGCGCTTGGGGACTGCCGGATGATTGTTGTTGTACTGGTGGATCTGGTCCGTATGTGTTGATTTTCGATAAACCGTCATTTCCAGTGGTCTATAGCCAGTCCTACATATGAGTACATCTAAAAGTGCTAGCTGCTCATCGTTCTCCTCTTCCCTCATGAATTGGATGCCGTCGAACACTGTTGATTAGCTCCTGTAATTCGTCTAATTTGGGAGTGCTAGCCGTTCTAGTGTCTGCATCACTCCATTGGCGATCGCATTAGTGTGCCTCTGTTCTGCCTGTAGATTTGACTGTTGAAAATGAAATGCATTGTTAGACTGAATCCCAGCAACTCCATCATTTGTCTGGTGTTGATTTTCCTATCTGTATCAGAGACCGCTTGTTCCTCCAATACCGCGACCATTGTTTGTCTCGCCAAGTTGATGTCGACCGATGTGAACGGCGCCGTCACATCAAAAGAGCATTATTTCGTCTCGTTCTATGCTTTTGAGTTTTGCTAGGAGCTATTCTGCCGAGTTGATCACGTGTTATGATCCCGCGAGCTACCTGCTTATCATCAAGACGACTACCTATCTCATTTTTCATTCATTTCACTTTAAACCTACTAGATTTCTCTACTTGCCCTCAACAAAAAATGTATTTGAGCATCCTGCATCTATCATTTTCGTCATTTTGTAACCACGGCACGCTATCTGTCTAGCTGTCTGCTGTTTTATATACATCCAACTCCCCAATTCATCGATCCCTCTAGTGATACCATCTCCCGCATTACAATCTGTCTATCCCCATGTCTAAGGATTTATCTTAGTTCAATTTCTCTACCTTTCCGCAATTCGGCTCGTATGTACGATTTGTATAATTTCCATCCCTCTGTATAATCTCTCTCTCTGTGTATACACTTCAATCGTTCCGTTTGCTATTCATTTCATTTCTCTCCATTTCTAAGTATATATAACTTCTATTTAAATTTCAGCTTGCTGGTTCCCATCTCCATCCATCTATCTTTAAATATGTCTACCATAAATCTCAGATATTTAAGAGTACATGATTAGTTTTGCGTATCCTGGTAGCTAACTCCTTATATGTACCTATTTCCATCTAACCTGCTATCTATTTATCTGCCTATCTTCTCAGCCATCATTTTGTCTCTCCATTACTCTTCGTTTGTTTAAACATATCTGTCTCTCAATCCTGCTCTCGTGATAACCGTTTCCGTGCACCCCGTCCCACCCAAGCAGTGATTCGGTTTCCTGGAGCCATTAATCGAGGTGTTGTAGGGGGTTATAGACAGGTAGACACCTTGCCAATATGCACAACAAGCACAATCAAACCGTGGATGTCAAGCAACAGCCAATCACTTGGAATGACCATATCAAAGAAAATAAATCGAATGAGGCATACGGATATGCCGACTTAAATCTTCACCAAATTATCACATGAAATAAATGGATTATCAACATAGCCGCCATAAATTCACGAAGGCAGAACAAGAGATCAAGAAAACATGCCACAATCAAGAAAAGATAAGCGAAGTTAACCACCTTTCGTTTAAACGACGTGTGCAAGTAAATAGAAGATTATTCAGATAGACACTAAAATAAGGCAAAAGATAAGCATTAATATAATATATCAAACCAATCACCTAAGGAATGTCAGCACACAAGCACGCGGTTTGTAAATCAAATGGAAGGACATATAGCGTACCTATCGACGCTGCTCCCATTCTCCCTACGTTCTCAGCAGCACCCGTCGTCGTTTCCATACTGGTCCTGAATGGCCTCGGTCGTGGCTAACTAGACTTGCCTAACTCAGGCACTCGCGACCACATGTGCTACAGCACAATGCGCTAGACGCCTGTTGCTTCTGCACCTGCCGCTTCTTCTCCGCATGCACGAGGGCTTTCTCTTGCTCCTCGGTTACTGCGTTCGTGATGTGATCGCGTCATGCACGCCGATCAACCGCCCGTCGATTCCCAACACCTGTAATCAACATTAGAACGTGATAGGCTCACCTTCACCATGTCCTCGTAACGAAGCTTCGGTGTTCCCGCATGCCGCTTCCCTGCATTCATTTAGCTATACAGCAGCCGTTTCCACATCCGTTTCTAATCCATAGAGCAAAAGTATGCCGTCCACTGCATACATTCCACTTTGGTGCAACACCTCCGTGTATGCAACTCTGTCGCACCAATCGATGCGCAGAATCCGTCGCAGACACTGTTGATGAAACCGCTCGAGATACCTCACATCGCGCCGGTACATCGTCCACGTTTCGCTGCCGTATTGAAGAACGGACTGCACCATGGATTTGTACACCATCAACTTCGTGCCAACGGTAAGCTGGTAGTTGTTCCACACTCGGTACTCAAGCTACCCGAATGCCACCAATGTCTTAGAGACGCGGATAAGCAGCTCATTGTGTATTTGCTAGTCAGTCGAAACGACACTCCTAAGGTAGCAGAAGCGGGTGGTGGTTTCTAATACTACAGCACCAATGCTGATTTGCGGCAATATTAAAGGTTGCACCTCCGGTGAAGGCTGAAAGAGACAGACAGTTGTGCTTGTGTGGATGGCGAGCGCGAATTTGGCCGCTGTCGAAGCTAGAGCACTAGTCATGTGCTGCAACTCATCTGTGCTTTGTGCAAACACGCACAGTTGTCAGCAAACAGCAGCATACAGATAGTTGTCTCACAGACTAGAGTTCTCGCACCGAAACGACGGATGTTCAGCAACCCACCATCAATACGGTGCTCCACACGAACATCGTAAACACAAGCCGCATCAAAAGCACATCATTGCATGAAGGGAAATATTAAACAGGGCAGGAGCTAAGACACAGCCTTGCTTCACACCAGAGACAACTGCAAAATCATCCGAGGTCTCTCCACTCAGCTGCACCTGTGCCCACATACCACTATGCAGACATTCAACTAAATATCTCGGAATAGGCTTGGAACCGACTGGTATCTCATGATTTCGGAAGCTTTCGAATACAAATCGGTTTTTGTAAAACTTTATTATGGCAAGAATCTGAAGAAGCTGTTTTGTCAAAAGTGAAACGTTGCCATAATAAAATCCTTCAAAAACCTATTTGTATTCGAAATCTTCTGATAACATTCAACCAAACTTACTCGGACAACCTAACTTACCCAACACAAGCCACAATACCTCGCGGTTCGCCGTATCAAATGCTTTGCTGAAATCAACACACCACGACTACAGCGGCTGGTGTCGCTCTCTGCACTTCTCCTGCAGCTGACGTGTCGCAAACACCATATCTATGGTGCTGCGACTCGATCGGAATCCACATTGCTCTTTTGCCACGTTCGTTTTCACAACCTGACTGAAGAGGCGGCTGAGTATTATTCGGGCAATTGCCTTACGCACACAGCTGAGCAAGTTGGAACCACGATAATTCGTGACACCGCCTACTTCCTTTACCCTTGTACAGCGGTAACACTAGGGCATCCTTCAACTCAGGAGACACGTCCTCCTCAATCCACGCGCGTTGCACCAATGGGTGCTGCGCATTCACCAACGCGGGTCCACCGTGTTTCAATACTTTAGGCGGGATCCCGTCGGCACTGGCATACTTTCCCACTGGAGCTGGGGACTGGGTACTCTGTCCATGCGTCACCATCTGTCGAATAGCATACCACAATTTCAGCTTCAGATTACTGGAATACAATGCTCCGGAGGAGAGAGGTAAGGAAAGTGAATTTTTTAGTGACGAGTTACATCCGCCACGTCGCAGCACTGTTAAAATAACGTTTGTGAGTTCATAGGGAGAACGCTTGCTAGGCGAATACCCACTATGTCTTGAAACACTCCGGCTAGCCTTATACTGGCACGGGTTAGTCCCGAGCCACCCAGCTGGCATCTCGGAGAGGTTGTCATGCGATCCAGCCCATGCATATGGTTTGTTGGAGGGAGGGGCTCGTCGATGATACATCACGAACCTCTCGCAGTTACATATCTGATCATATAAACTCTCCAACTCCGCCCAGTGCAACGGACAGATCTGAAAGCATATATGTTATTGATCATGTGCTTCCACGGTAATATTTTTCCGTCCGATCTACATTTGGGTATTTTTCTCGCGTCTTATTTGTGCCAAACTTTCAAGCGATCCTTCTCGCCATCTGTCCTTCCCACCACTTTGTCTGATGATTTAAAAAGCCACAACAAGACTGTCCCAAATTGAGGTTTCGCGTTTCAGTCCAATAGGTGCGCAAATATTCTCGCATAGTTACGTTACGGGATCTCTGTGGTACAAAGGATGTGCGTTATTTTCGAGTTCACCATTCTCCCTCCTTTGTAGTATTCCGTCAGGGACACTGACACTAATACATTGCTCGGCTACTTCTACCTGGACCTCCATCCACGCGAGGGCAAGTATTCCCATGCGGCAGTGTTCGAATTGCAGCCCAGCTGTTTGTGCCCTGCCTCCGAAGGTGCGGCATCTGGCGAAGCCGAAGACCACCGCCCAATCGAACGCCAATTAGCCGTGGCTGCGATGGTCGCCAACTTCACCGCGCCTACTGCAGATCAGCCCAAGCCGTGTTTGTTACACGAAGAACTGGAAACATTCTTCCATGAGTTTGGACACCTGATGCATCACATTTGTTCACAGGTGGATTGTGCAATCTTTGGGTGAGTTTCCGCACACTCACTGCCCCCCACTCCTCTTGTTTGAAGTTTCACGGAAATGAGGTAAGCGGACCTTCCACTTTTGTTTTCAGTGGCCTTGAAGTGGAGACCGACTTTGTTGAGTGTCCCTCACAAATGCTCGAGAATTGGGTGTGGACTGAAGCTGGTTTGAAGGCTCTTCTCGCAGATGAATTCGATCGTATACCTGGAGACACGTTAAAAAGCCTACTTGCATCACGTAACGCTAATGCCGGCACATTCAACTCACGCCAGATTTTGTTTGCGTCTTTCGATCAGAAGATTCATACTTCCCGTTGGCAAGTGAGTGGTCCTATTTCATCAGCTGGTAGTGACAATCAAGCATGACACGCTTCGTTTGTTGTATACTCTTCGTTGATTTGTGTGGTAGCAGCATCAGCGTAGTTAGCCATGTGATTCCGACTGACGTCAATTCGGTCCACTTCAGTTAAGCAACTATGATCTGGTCACAGAAGTGCGTTGAATCTAGTTACCACGCGTACGCTGACACAAGAAAGCAATTAATAGCACTAGTAAGGAAGGTGGAGCAATACGCACAGAAAGCGCATTTAAGACGGGTGTGCGTATACATAATTGGGATATACTACAGGGTGGCGCACGAAATTTCATACCATTTGTTTTGTTCATTACGCATGTATTCATCATCAAAATATCACTTAGTGCAGAATTCATTGTATGCGCATGAAAATTTAGTTCCATGTAGTACCAGGTGGAAGTGCAGTACCAAGTGGAATTGCGTAGAACCTTGGTGTTCCTTGCTGCCCTGCGTTGTGGCATCTCTCGCACCTTGCGGTGGTGCTTCAACTACAGGGTGACGCACGAAATCTCATGCCATTTGTTTTGTTAATTACACATGTATTTATCGTCAAAGTGTTACAAAATTAGTGCCGAATTAATTGTATGAGCCCGGGAGTTTAGTTCAATGTAGTGATCACCATTTCGTTTCACAACCTTTTGCAAATGAACCATGACATTTGTCACAACCTTCCTGAAATTAGACGGCACAACTGCACGATGAGAGCCCTGAAGTGAGCTACACTTGCAGGTCTCCTTGCTCATACATTATTTTTCAACTAGCCCCACAAGAACAAATCACATGGTTTGATGTCAGGGCTATGCGGGGGCCACTGTCTCCCACCTTGGTGGTGCGTATACTGTCTAACCCATGTCGTCTTCCGAAAGACCCTCCTTTCAAGCGACCCATCAGCTCGCCGCCGTAATGACACATCCAAAAAGGGGATTTTCTCATCTTTTTCTACCTCACCAGTGAATTTTAACGATGAATGCGCACTGTTAAACTGGTCAAGTATCTGCAGGTGGTCTTTTTGGGAGTCGCTGAGCTTCAGTAAATGGCGACACGTGATTTCAGTTAATTGATATTTTGTACTCCAATATGAGATCACTGCGTGGTAGTCGATAGTGCCCGCTGAAAATTTCCAATATCTTCAACCTTTGCCACTAAGGGGAATTGCGTAGAACCTTGATGTTCCTTGCTGCCCTGCGTTGTGGCATCTCTCGCACCTTGCGGTGGTGCTTCAACTACAGGGTGACGCACGAAATCTCATGCCATTCGTTTTGTTCATTACACATGTATTTATCGTCAAAGTATTACAAAATTAGTATCGAATTAATTGTATGAGACCGGAAGTTTAGTTCAATGTAGTGTGTGTTCAATGTGATCACCATTTCGTTTCACAACCTCTTGCAAGCGAACCATGACATTTGTTACAACCTTCCTGAAGTTAGACGCACAGCTTCATGATGAGAGCCCTGAAGTGAGCTGCACTTGCAGGCTTCTTTCCTCATACATTATTTTTCATCTAGCCCCACAAGAACAAATCACATGGTTTGATGTCAGGGCTATGCGGGGGCCACTGTCTCCCACCTTGGTGACGTTCAGGAAACAGATGTGACATTCCCCGCCCATCAAACGTGTCATACAGGTAATCAAGAACAACATTTGCAGTGTGTGGGCGCGCTCTGTCTTGCAAGAAGCATTGCGTTTGTAATGGGAGACCTGCTACCAAGAGTGCTGGAATAACTCTGTTTTCCAACACGTCCTTATAACGGTTATTGTTTACCGTCCCGTCAAAGAAAAAGGGTTCGATGATTCCATGGGATGAAATTACTGCTCATACACTGACCTATTCTCCATAATTTTCCCTTACGTGCTGAATGCGAGTATGTTCACTTGACCAGAAACGAACATTTTGCTTATTCATTACACCATTTACATGAAAATACGCCTCGTCAGTAAACCACGTGTTGTACAGACACACACAAACACTATATACACGTTAGGTAGAGGTGGGAAACACCTCAGCTACTGTGCCGCAATACCTAAAAGCAAAAGGAATAAAATGCATTAGGTGCAAACCAGCTGATCCCGGTAACGGATAGGCATCGTTAGGATAAGCTACCTGCCGGCAGAAAAAAAAATAATTTAATATGCAAAATTATATAAGGCTAAATAATGAGATCGTGGTTGGAAGGGGAGGATAAGGGGGATGGGGTGGAACAAAGAAACTCACAGTACGAACGCCACTGAGGTCGGTTCCTAGTGTTGTGTCCACAGGGGTTCTACTTAACAGCTTCTTAGATTGTGCCACGCGAGTCAAAAGACAACGCACCGGACGAGAAGTATATTTGCGAAACACTGCACGGGCCGACGTGGGTATGAAAACACTCTGATTACAGTTCAAATCACGGCTGAGTGCTAATTTGAATTTATCGATCTCAATGAATCACGGGACATGTGAGTGGTATGAAACAAGCGATTGTGACGAATGTTCCGCCACACAGAAAAAATTTAGTCTGATTGTAACTGAGACTGTTCTGATAAAACGCATACGGTTACTTGGGGGAAATTGCGCCTTACCTTCCCGAACAAGTAAATTTGTTTCGTTTCTGTGCGCATTTGACTTTGGTCTGACCTAACACCTCCCCCTTGTTGAAATAGTTAGACCGGTAGTTGTATAGCTTTTCCTTCGGGGATCGACCTGAAAGGGTTGCACGCATCTTCTTACCCGTTGAGGCTTTAGTCGGTGTTCATTTCCAGTCCGTTCCACGAGCTGCGTATCCTGTCCGGTCGAGGTGCTTGTGTGCAAAGTGCATAACAATTCATTGAAATCAAATCGTTTGGCGTCGCGTGTCTCTGGGATCCTTGCAAACCGCGGTCGCAGTTGGTTGGCGTGACGAACCCATACTTGCCTACCAACGCGAACATCGTACATTACTTTGCCACGTCGTCCCACGACTTGACCTGGTATCCAGCTTATTCGGTGTCCTCGATGAGAGGCAGCAAACACTGCGTTTCCAACTCTGAACTTTCTGCGCTGTGCTCGGTACCGTCTGTTGTAATGGGCTTCCATATCCGAATTCGTACGAGGTGATGCATACGGGACCGGGCGCCTGAGTCGAAACACTGGTGTAGCACAAGGTAACAGAGTAAGCTTTGCCTCCATCTTGCTACAATGTCCAAGTTCAGGTTGAAAAACACAAGCATACTTCTCCTGAAAATGTTCAGCAATGGTTTTACTTGGAATATGTGGTATGGCTGTATGATGCACCATGACGTTCGTTTCAGAACACACATTATTTAGTGGTACATTGAGCAAATTCAATCTATCAATCCAATCAATGCCAAGAAGATTAAAGTTGACACAAGAAGCTAAGTAGATGGTTACACGGAGGCTTAGATCTTTGAATTTAATGTCACATGTGAACTCACCATCTAACCAAAGTGGTTCGCCGGATGCATTCTGGGCAGTCAGATTCGTGCGCCTCAGTAGAGGTTTGCCGAATCTCGTCCATGATAATTGAGAAATGATGGTAATGTCCGATGTCGTATCTATTTACAAGGATATGGGAACATCGTTAATTTTGACGGTGATGTACTTTCGTTTGTCCGCAAATTCTGTGCGACAGGTCGCGAGAACTACTTTTGTCTTTGCTCCCTGAAACGACGTTTTTTGGGACTTAGAGTTCGGGTATAGGTGTGGGGTAGAAACGGGCCTGGAAACGTACATTTTGCGACAGTGGGATTCTTTGTGACCCAGACGTTTGCACTTCTGACAGAGATGCTTCTTTTAAGTACAGAATCGCACAAAATGCCATCCACCACAGTTCCAGCATGCTGTCGGGGGTTTCTGGTTGGGTACTCTATGACTCACATTTTTACCTCGAACAGCCGTGCGGTAAATCTGTGGTTCACTCCTGGGGTCAGCATTTTCAATCATTTTGGTATCATGCTTTAAGTTAATCAGTCTCTGGCATTCAGCAGCAATGTCCTGTAATATCAAATGGAGTTCCTGCTCTAAATTGTGTAGGATGCGTGTGCGCACATCAGCATCGGCATGAGACTGAAGACTGCAAACAAGGGTCTGACCTAACACCTAGCCATGCCAGCAAGTGTATCTAACGAAACGTGTTCATCGCCTTTTGGACCCCAACCATTAAGCTGAGGCGCTCCAACTGAGGCCAGCTTCGAACCAAGTCATCGCTTGGCCACCTCTTTTCTTTCCACACCCCCGGCGCGCAAACAACGCACGTCGCGGGAGTCGGTGGGCTCGCATGCGTAACACCTGGCCGAGCTATCGGAGCCTGGTGCGTGAGATGACGGTACTGAGCGGCTCATTTCTTTTTTCTGTGCCGTAAACAAGGCGTCGAACACGCACGTTGCTCACGCGGTGTTCCCACCAGATGTGAGCTAAATTGCGAAGGCACCGGTGATCAAACCTGACTGGCCTCTTTATGTCCGCTGATCTAAGGGGCCAGGTTTCACGGTACAGTAGGGTCGAACGTACCGCTGCATTGTACACTCTACCCTTCAGGGCGAGAGTAATGTCGCGCCGGCGCTATAATTGGCGAAGGTTAGCAAAAGTGCCTCGAGCTTTCGCTATACGGTTCGTGTTGTACAGAACGTGATCCTCTTGCACTAGCCACGAAGCGAACTGATATCTCCGTTGCTTGTCCTCTGCTGTTAATTTATGGATAAATGTTATCTTGTAAGGGAACATTTGATAATCAGAATGCAGAATCCTTTGTATGGACCGACGAGATATTCCTAACTCAGAAGCCGTCCTCCTTGTTGAGTTGCAATAACTTCGTGTCAAAGAAACACGAACTGCTTCCATGTTTTCAGGAGTGCGGGCACTTGGTCTGCGCCGTCCATTCTTCTCCACCACAGAGCCAGTTGTTTTAAACTACGATACAATCTCCGAATAGTCGTTTACTTGAAGCCCATTTTGTACGAAAGTGTGCACGAAAACGTCTTTGTATCGCTACAAAACTCCTCGTTTCTGTGAGAGACACTACAACTTTCATCTTCTGTTCAACACTCAATCTGCTCTTATGCGCCACTTTGAAAATTCTGTTTGGCGCCAAGAAAATATTCCATAAAATCTAGTGACATCTACCGAATATTCCATAAATTGTGTGTAATGAACAAAACAAATGGTATGACATTTCGTGTTTCACCCTGTATATTAACATCTGGATTAAAGAGACCGAATACGAGTGCCCCCTCTGAGTTTGCGACTGCACCAACTATTAGTGCGGACCATCATGAGGCCACCATGCTGTCCAACTCTCTTCGCAAATTTCTTCATGCATTTATGTCGCATCATGAAATAGCCACCTCGCGGTTGCGCCCAACTTTATGCGGCCACATTACCACCATCATTATACACGTTAGCTGCAGGTGGAAAACACGTCAGCTATTGTGCTACAATACAAAAGACAAGAAAAGGAAAACAAACAGTGGCACGCCGGCTGAGTCCCCAGTAACGGATGGACATCGGTCCGGAGAGCTAACAGCTGGCTATTATGCCGTAAAAAGAGAGTTATATTATGCCTAACGAGTGAGATCGTGATTGGAGGGGGATGGACAAAGGAACTCACAACACAAACGCCACTGGGGCCGGCTCCAAGCCATATCAGCAAGTGTGTCCAACCAAATGTGTTCACCGTCCTTAAGACCCCAGCCAGGTAGTCGGGATGCACCAATCGACCCCAACTTCGAAGTGAGGGTTTTCATCTCTCTCGACCAAGTCATCGCTTGGCCTCCCCTCCTCCTCTTCCAACCGCACCCACAACGTGCAAACAATGCACGTCGCAGGAATCGATGTGCTGCCAAGCGCAGCACGAGGCCCAACCATCGGAGCCTGGTGCGTGATATAATGGTGCTGAGCGGTTCACTCGCTCTTCCTGCACCAAATACGCGATGCCGAACACTCATTGCTCACGCGGTGCTCGCACCAGACATGAGCTAAGCGGCGAAGGCAGGGATGATCTAAAGTGACTAGCCACTTTATGTCTGTCAACCTGATGGGCCACGTTTCACAACCATATAGAAGAGTTGAACGGACGGCTGCGTTATGCGACCACGCTGTATAATGTATACCAAGGAAGCCAATCAACGAGCATATGGAGGACTTAACCAACCTAGGCGGTTAAGTTTTAGCAAACACTGATGAGTAAGGAAGGGGTTCCTCACCAAACATCAGCAGGCGGACCTCAGCATTGCTCAGTCGTTGTTCCTGTCAGATGTGAGCAATACTCCCTATGCACCAGATGCTCGGTGACTATGATTCGCACTTAACGAGACCAACCATACAATTTATAACAACGGAGAACGACTCTAGAAGTTGGCTGATACTGAGGTGACTATGTGAAACACGGATCTTCAGTGTAGTTATCTACCAAGCTGACAGATCAGGACATATATCTGTTCATCCTTAGCCCGATCGATCGCTGCTTTGGAGGCCCCGGTCCTACGTAGTCCCCTCACCGATCCGTAGGTTTAGAGCTCCGTTTCAGCCTGTTCTGTTCATTCATCCATACTCATGTTGTCTACGAGTTTCATGACTGTTTATGAGTTGCACTCCCCTCTTTCTCTTTCGATGCACTAGTCGTGTTGTGCGCTCTTCTAATGTCACCACTAGCGCATATTTTCACCGCTTGGATTCGCACTTCTTCTGGTTCGATTCCAGTTCACTGTATGCTAAGCATTTCACCCAATCGGATTCATTCATGTGTATCGTGATAACCCTCCGTAAAACAAAACTACGCCTGTGCGCCTTGATCAAAATTTCTGTTATTCCAAGAACAACGGGGTCATTTTATATCTCGCATTAATTAGATTCGCTCACCTCGTGGCACATTTCCTCCGGCTGTTTCGCTCGTGGCATCCGCTTGAGCGCTGTTTGTGCTATTCCAAATCCATTTTGCACTTGATGTTATCAACGCGCTCAATCGGGGTCGATTTGGGGCTATCGTCGCCAGCAAGCAAAAATTCAGCCTGGGGTCATTGCTGCTGGCTCGTTAGCTGCCACCACCACACACATGTGAGTTAAATGTTTAGTTGCGATTAGCTTTTTTCTCAGAATCGTAATGAGCTTGTCACTCAACAGAGCAACTCCAATTCTCCCTTCCCCCTCCCAGTGCAGCTTCTAGTAACCGCGCCACGTATGCACTGATAATTATATTCTCAGGTTTTGATGATCAGTCTTCCATTTAAACAGTTTAATGCGAATTTCCCCGTCTGAGTTTCATTTACCGACTGGTTACCGACTGATTCCGCTTACATAATTGTGACTACCCTAACTCACACAAATTTTACCTAATTCACCTGTACGCCTGCTTTGCTCTCTCTCTGTCTGCAGGATGACCCACAGGATGTTTTCGCCGAATTGAGCCGCGAAATTCTCCATGTGGATCCAAGTCCTGGGACTTGCACACCGGCCTCATTCGGTCACCTTGCCGGGGGATATGATGCGCGCTATTACAGTTACATGGTGAGTATTTCTAAAAAGTCACTACATTTCCCTATTTCCCTTATTAGTGCCCCTATTAGCATTCTGGGCGCCGAACTAGACTGTCACGACACGGTTTTTCATAAACACCTGTCAACAATTACAAATTTCCGCTTGTTACCTGCACACGTAAGTTGTGTATCGCTGGCGGTCAAGACGTTGGGAATGTTATTGCGCGCTTGGGTGACTTTCTGGAGCATCTATCACCTCAGGCTTCTCAGTCACTAGTAAGGTGTATAACCGCGGTGCGACTATCTTTCTTTCTAAGACTCCGAAACAGGACCAACTACAGATATCCACGAGGCGTCGTTACTGTCTGATGACTGAAGCATGAATGGTTATAACTAATAAGCTAGAGGAGTCTGCGAACGTGATCTACATCGATTTCAGTAAGCGAAACTCTCCTCCGACCTAAAGCGTCACCTCAGCAGACAAACGAAGTGGGGACCCCACTCGTACTTCACACTGGTAGCAGATCTGTAAGAGGTGATTATCTTCAAAGTTGGACTCGGAGAATCCGCTGTGTGGTTGGGTTGCTACAAGCAACCTCTATTAAGACCTCGGTTCACTTGAGGTGGACCTCGGTCATTCCGATCACAAGGACCGAATGTGAAATGGACATATTTTGGTGTTGCTCATCCCAACACTGGCACCCTGCGGCCGCGGTTTCGTCCTGGTTTGGACTCATCAGGTGGAGATAACCTGATCTGGGGTGGAAATCGGAGCCTAGTGGTTCACTGCTGATGATTTTCTTGTGCAATCCTGTAACCACTCTCCACTTATTGGCAAAATGAGTTCGCAGAGGGGCAAATTTCGACGTCGCCGAACCCAATTCCAAGCGACTCACCGATAACACTACCAAAAACTGCTAGCGATCAACCATAGAATGGTCAGCACAATCTCTCATCCGAACCACATGTTTTTCGGTTCGTTGCTGCGAACCGATGCATTTTTCTGCACGTACATCGATGCCAAACGATTACTCTGCGAACTTATCGAGCCTCAGTGGCGTCTGGCAACAAATGTTTAAAATCGCATCTCTATTACCGAAACTTGTTTGCATCCCAAGATTACGGATGCTGAAATCGCTATTCAGAGAATGCCACTGTTCCGAAACCATCATCCCAACAGGGGATGTGGTGTAATCCTATGCCACCGCAACGACTTACAATGCGAACCACTGCATGATCCGGAGACGCGAGTCACCGATTCGTTCTCTTGCCATTTGCGTCTTAGCTACAATCACAACTGCTTCATGGTAGTCGTTCACTGCCGCTCATTGTCCACTCCAAGGATGGATCTCAACTTAATATCAGCACTGACAAGAAGCTTACTCTCAGCTTACAGCCACGTGCTTGTCTCCGGCGATTTCAACGTGCCAGGCCTGGACACTCCGGCATCTCCCAACGAAATATTCAGCACAGAACTACAATATCTTATCGCAATAATTCTACTGTACAGTCACATAAACTCCCCTACCAGCTACAGATCTGATAACAAACTATTGGCGCTAGCCCTCGTGAGGAACTCGTGATCGATGAGCCATTAACTGACACCCCGCTAGGGCTAAGTAATCATGTCATTATACTTTATACCTGTGCGTGTTACGCTGGGTATCCGGAAGAATGCACTTAGCCAACACGTGCTATCACGCGCCACAACATCCTGACCGATCTGGTTGCAATGACCGATTGGCAATTCTTGAAAATTGTCTCACCTGATAGCGCCTGAATTCTGTTTGTTAAACGCTTCAACAGTTTGATCGTACTTGCTTCAGACATTAAGCGTGTTCCTTCGACCGAGTCATCATCGTTTAGCAGAAGCCGAGCTCGAAAACGCATGTCACTAAAGAATGCAGTTTGGCACAGTTAAAGAGCCCGTTTTGGTCCTGAAACTTGGAACGACTGCTTGACCCAGCACAAGCATATTAAAATATGCTTTTCCGTAAGGACAAAGCGGCTCATCAACAACATTTGGCTTGTAAATTTATCTCCAATAAAAATTCCTATATAACCACGTTAACACCATTCGGAAAGTGAAACATGGTTACCCCGTTTCAGCACTACGACCGTAGTGTCATAGAGTTCGAAAGAAGCAGCCAACGCCATAGGGATGCAGTATCCCCCGACCTTGAAACGTGACGTCCGGCACTGTTACATACCTACAGCAATAGCCCCAATTTCAACACTTAGTAACATCGCGTTTACCGACACATCTGTGTTGTAGAAACTGCTCTCACTACGTACCTACAGTTTTCTCGCAATCAGTGACATTCACCTGAGGGCGCGGAACGCAACTGCAAAAACGCTGATCTCGCCATTAGTGCATTAGTACAAACGTACCTACCATGTAGGAACATGGTCTAATCAGGAGCATTTTCAAAAGTCGCAGTCGTTTGGAACCTGCAAACTATCCCCCAGTGGTCCTCCTCTCTGTACATTCAATGGTGATGGAGGCAATTATCGCTGAGACTTTAAGCGGCCATCTGGAACGCCACAACATCATAGCGCCTGAGCAGCATGGTTTCCGCCAACACCGTTCATGCACTACCAACGGGCTGATTTCACGCAGTAGTTGGACTGAAGCGGTCAACAAACGAAGAGTGTAAGCGACAAAATCGCTTGGGTCTCACGTGACACGTAGAATCTCCCGGTCCAAGCAAGAAAGAAGCCGAGACGTTAACTACTGTGTTGTCCAACTAGTAATCAAAATACTATATCTATAAGCCTCAACAATACCCGATCGTTTCCAAAACAACCGGCCTTCACCATGTCGAAAAAGAATGCAAACGGTACTTGCCACTGTTACTAAAGAGTCACACCATACCGAGTCCACGATCGCACTATGACCGTTCTTTTATTAGGTCCGTTAAAACTTGGCTCATTGGTTCCCTATACAGCGTGGGAAACGGAACGCGATGTTCTCGGATCTTGGAGTGGCTTGGCTCAGTCAAACAGTGGGGTCTCGGAGGAACATGGAGGTGCGTGCTCCTGTGGCGGGAGGGTGATTCAAATCAGAGGTGTGTGGGTGGACTGGTCTGGACAGGTTGCACAGCGAGAGCGAACGGTGAATTCATGGCAACATCGATATGAGGTCACATGCGGGATAATCAGTAAGCCGGCGTTCATCAAATGGGGCAGGCATCTTCTTTTAACTTCCAGCCTGAGATCCCGACCTACGTCTTGCTAATTACATAATGGTTATGTCGGTTGGCAAGTAATGTTGCACAAATTATCGTGGCATCAACTTGTATGGGCAAGGTGATTACCCGAATCCTGCTCAACCGCTTCGTCAGTCCGATTGTGGAAACGAACGTGGCGGAAGAGCAATGTGGATTCCGTTCGGGTAACAGCCCCATATATATGGTGTTTGCGACTCAGCTGCAAGAGAAGTGCGGAGAGCGACACCAGCCATTGCACTCGTTGTTTGTTGATTTCACCAAGTCATTTGATATAGTGAACCGCGAGGCATTGTGGCTGGTGTTGGGTAAGTTTGGTTGTCCGAGCAATTTTGTTAGTTTGATTGAATGTCTGCACAGAGATATGCGGAGCAGGGTGCAGCTGAGTGGAGTGACCTCGGATGACTTTGCAGTTTTCTCTGGTGTGAAACAAGGCTGTGTCTCAGCTTCTGTCCTGTTTAATATTTATCTTCATGCAATGATGTGCTTTTGATGCGACTTGTGTTTATGATGTTCGTGTGGAGCACCGTATTGATGGTGGGTTGCTGAACATCCATCGTTTCGATGCCAGAACCCTAGTCTGTAAGACAACTATCCGTATGCTGCTGTTTTTTGACAACTATGCGTGTTTGCATACAGCGCAGATGAGTTGTAGCACATGACTAGTGCTCTGGTTTCGACAGCGGCCAAATTCGGGCTCACTGTCAACACAAGCCGAACTGTCCGTCTCTTTCAGCCTTCTTCATTCTAATGTATTTCTTGTCTCTTTATCTGGCATCTTTAATTTATCGCTGGTATGTTGATAACCCATTTATATCGTGTGCTAATTTAGTGGTATGTCCGTATGATGTTTTCGACCTATTTTATTGTTTATTTCATTTCACGTGGCTGGCTGTTGCTTGGCATCCCCGGTGTGGTTGCGCTGGATGTGCATGTTGGCAGTTCGTCTATACCGGCTCTAGGATACGGTTGGTCGTTTCTGGAGGAGACTGGGGCACGCTCCTCGTGGCTGTGCTTGGCTCGAAGAGTGGTTCCATGCGCACGGTTCGTGTGTGAAGCGGACTACGGTCCAGCCACCGCATTATATGTGATAATTTCCCAAATACAGCGTGCTTGTGTTTGCCTTTGAAGTAGCTTTGGGCCAGCTCCGTTGACGAAATCTGGTTCCCATCCGCATGCCTCCCGGTCTTATTCCTTCGTGTTTACATTGGATAAGGGGTGGGTAGATGGAGCTGCGGGTGGTGCAGCGCAAGCCACCCATAGTACCTCTGTAGGCGCAGGCGTCCTGTGGCTGGCCAAAGTGGCAGGCAAATCCGAAACCGGATGCCGCCAACCATATCGGTTGGCATGTAACCAAGGCCCTTAAATTGTTTGAGCCGATAAGTGGTATGAATTCAGAATTAAATCTTGTTATTCATGTTGTGAATTTCTCAACGCTTCTGTCGGGAGGGCAAGTAACCATGGTGCATACAGTGTGTAAACAAATACTTGTTGGGAATCCAGTTTTGTGAATTGCGTGGTTAATTTACCACTTACAGCGAGAGACCAATGTCATTTACCTTAACTTTTTCAGATCCTTGGAACGCATTGACCACCGCATCCTGCGTCTTAGGCTTGATAGCTACGGAGTTGGGGATCCTGTTCTTGGGTGGATCAGAATTTTCCTACGGAATCCGCAACTGTAGCTTTGAGTTCAGGGTGCGCTGTCCGAGTTTTGTTCATGTCGAATGAGAAGTTTCACAAGGATCGGTTCTTGAACCGCGTCTGTTAATCTTGTCCATAACTGAGCTTACGCGTCTAATCGTCTCGGGTTTTTAGCTATTAATGGTAAGATGTGTAGTGCGATCGCCGGCCTAGATGATCACGATGTAATTTAACGGGAACTGGACAAATCGTATGAATGATCACTCCCCAATGTGCTTCAGTTTAACTCGTCTACATGTGAGATGACCCACATTCGTCACCAGCCGAACATCAAATGCAAACCTGGAGACCATGTGTTGCAAAATTCACCCATGAGCACGACGCTGAGGTATTAATGCATGCTGATCTGGGCTGCTCAGCTCCATCTGAGAAGACGTCAATAACTAAGAATCAACATGTTGGCAAGGTGCAGAGAGTCGGGCGGTTTGATCCGTCTGTTTGTTCACAGTTGCTAAACACCTACATGCGGTCTCATGTGGAATACGCAATCCAGGTGTCGCAGCCTTTGCACAAGCAACATCTCCCAGCGCTCGAGACTGCACAGCGAAGAGCCACCAAGCACGTCAAACAGTTGTTTCACTTTCATTAACAACAAGCTGAGAACTCTATGATTATAGAGTGGTCAGTAAAGGCACCTACCCAGCGACCTAACATTGGCCTACCAGATTTTGAGAAACCCTAATGACGTCTGCCGCCACCTATTGCAATTCAGTCACAACACAAATTTGAGGGGCCATCAGTTCAAATTGGCCACGCAGTACAGTCGGCTAAAATGTCAGAGAAACTTTTGCTCTCTTCGTGTCTGCCAACTGTGGGCGGCCCTCCCAAATTACCTTGTTTCTGCCCCCCACCACGTTGCCCTAACACACCTACATAACGGGATATAGTCTGTATACATTGACCGACGCTATAATCTGACGAACGTTGCGCAATCAGCACTAACCTAACGTATACCTTTGTGTGAACACTGGCGAGTCCACCAAAACGATTTTCTTTTCAACGTCTTTTCTGTTCGCCAATTTGTGATTCTGATTCTGGACATCCTGCGGGGCTTGTTAGGTATTTGCTTGTTTACTCTTAAGATACCATTGTTTCATGGAGAATCCTGAGGTGCTCCTCCACACGGTAAAGGTGTGGTGGGTCACTGTACCAGTAGATCCGAGTGTTTCTCTCTGAATGAAAATGGAGAGTACAGGTCCACAGCCATCTAAGATTCTGATATCGCTCTACTCGTGACGTGCTCCAAGGTGCGGTGATAATGACCGCTCTGTTCCCAATTCACATCAGCTTCTCCGGTCGCCCTGTGCCCTGTTTTCAGACGACCTGAGAGTGATTAGCACCCGGCCTACTTCATCATGACCTCAATCACCTCAGATGTGGTCTCCGGATGTTCGTCTACCGGTCAGCCCAGCCAAGTTGGTATTCATGGGCCGATTTTACACCCTTGACGACCAACCGCTGTATTTATATTCTCCACGTTGGAGGAGATAGGCTTTCTCTCCTCCGTTATGATTTGAAGTCCGTGTGGACAAGACGAACATACTACATGGAAACGGACTGCGCATGGTTTGGCCGTTCAAGCACAGTTTCTGCATTTCGCGTCTTCCATCCTAAAACCAATCCTGGAGTACTGATCGCTCGTCTACTGTCCGATCATCTGTGTGGCGTTGAATATTGACGGGTCCAACACCTCGCCACCAGACTCATCTCGGGTTTACGGGATTCGCTGTACGAAGACCGCCGCTAGAAACTAGGACTGTACACGCCGTCTTATCGTCGGGTGCGAGTTGACCTCATCGTGACCTACCGCATTGTGGTGACTTCTGTATGTTGAACCCGCTGGTGCATTTGCGAACACCATGCAACGCAAACGGACAACGGTAAAGGTTTGTGGTAATGCATTAGGAGTCCTTGTGTACTTCAGGCAGAGAGTGATCTGTGTTGTATCTCTTCTTCCTCTACTTGCAATGTTGAGCCTCTATTGGCATCACATGCACTGCATCCGTGAAGAGAGTTGAGATGTTGGAGCTCACTCAGGTTTCGATATATGTCAACAGGTAATGTAGCGAGTGCGTTTAAGGGTGGACACTTGAGATGCATGCATGCACTCATTTTTCCTTGTGTGTGTGTGCGCGCGCGAAAGAATCACACAGCTTTACGACAAACAGTCACACTTTAGTTGAAGCTTAGTTGCCACGATACGAGTAGTGTCTTTATAGAGTTATACTTGTTTTTACGATGACCTCGTACCACTTGACCTGGACGGATGCTGGATGCAGGGTGTAGTTCGTCCTAGCCCCCTTCACTCGGGGCTTAGCTCATTTGGTTTGGTTCTACAGAGACCAAGTGGCACCAGTTTTCTTCACTTCCAAGCGGACTGTACATGGTTCACACACACACACACACAGGACCGACAGTTCAGCTGAAAATGTACTTATGTGAAGACGACTCTGGCTCGTTTTACACTCACACACCTGTGGCTCGTGGTAATTTCGGATTACTAACCTGTTGTCTCACCTTTGTGTCTTCGTGTCTCTTGTCCTTGTATTGAAGGAGTATCTCACCTCTTGTAGTTGTTGCACATCATCGTTGTACTGTGTTCACATTTTATGATCGGTCCTACCGGTAACATACTAGACTAGTTGATCGAGCAGTCTCCCCACCTCTCATAGTGCATTCACTGACACATTTGTTTTTGTGGTACTGATTCTGCAGATGAGGACATTGGCCGGTTATTTGGTCTGTTCGCAGTTTAAATTCTACCTATTCTTGTTCCTGCGAATTTATAATTGATTCGTATTGTGGCAGCGGTTAAACAGTTTACAGCTGAAGTGTTTCTCCACCTTACCTCTAGCGTGCGGAATGTTGATGATTGAAAGCTTTCTCAAATTGTTTGATTTTTCTACTTCCATTCCATGATTTTAACTTCATCAGAGACAGTGACAGAGGCCATCGTCACCCTAGCACAATTCTTACAGTCTTTTTGTTTCCTAGTATTCTAATCGTTGTCCTTTTCACATTTCATCGACAAGCAATTAGTTCTCATAGAAAATGAAATGCAACCAATACAGGTTCATAGGATTGTAGAGAGCAGAAGGAGAAATCCTTTGTCAGCCCCATCGCTTCCCGATCATTGTGTGTATAGGCCGCGATTCGATGTTATGCGGTAATCCACAAGAGACCGTGACAGCTACACTGGAAGCTGCAAGGGCCCATCGTACTCAAAAGATAAGAATCTAACATTCGCTTGAAACATTCCTCAGTCTGTGCATCGATCACATGTTTCGGCAAGTTATTCCAATCATTGACTATGCGAGTTGATAGAGCGAGAGCAGGATGAACCCGGAGTCTTCTGGGTTTAAACAGCTTCCAGTTGTGGCCTCGAGTTGAACTGTTTGGATTAGATTGAAAGCACGCCTGCAGCTCCGTCCCTATCTCTCCTCTCAGGATGCGCCTGGTGAAAATCAGGTCACCGCAACGTCGACAATAATCCGGGAAGAGCAAGTTCATCCGCTAAACTCTCACGGGATAAGGCAAATCCCGTAACTCCAAGATGTGTTTCGATCCACGCCGTTGGACCTTCTCAATGAGGTCACATTCGAACTTGGTGAGAGGGAAGACGGCAGGTAATCCGTATTCGAGAATGGGGCGGACATGGGAAGTAAACAGTAGTCGGAAGATATCCGGAGTCAAACGCGAGAAGGCTCTTCGTATGGCATGGGACATCCTGTTGGCAGCAGCAACCCTTCGTAACGTGTCCTGTGTAGTCCGTAGATCAGATGACACCAACACGCCGAAGTCTTTTTCAAGGATTGAGGTTCTGAGCAACGCCCCACCAATGTGATACGTCCCGAATGGCTCAGGAGCACCAATGGGGAGGACCGAGCACTTATCGCGATTTATGGGCAATCGCCATTTGACTGACCACTCATGTAACGTATCAAGTGTAGCCTGTAATCGGTCCGCCTCGTCAAGACAAGATACCTCCATCCACAATTTCAAGTCATCAGCGTAAATCAAGCAATGCCAGCCTGCTTCTTTGTAATTCGAGGGAGCGGGTTCAGGTCCGTGCATAGAACCCGGCGACTCTCAGTATCCCTAGCCCACGCGTAATTGTTGGTAGTTGCGCGACAGCGAAGCGTCAGTACTTCGTATCGGCATACTTCTGATAACTTTACTTATTTCATTATTTCCACTGCTGCATTTTTCACTTTTCTATCACGTTCTGTCTTGATTTTTAACAGATTACCTTCTAAAATATCGTCTTTGCAAACTATCTCATTTGTCCATAGTTTGCGCTTATGTAATACATCATCTATCCATCTCATTTTCAGTGGAGTCTCGTTTTCAGCGCCGACATGTACGAGACGCGGTTCCATCATGCTCCGGACGGTGGATGCTTGAGCCCCTCGGTTGGGCGGGATTATCGGGAAAAAATTCTGAAACCCGGTGCTTCCAAGGATGCGGCTGAATCCCTGCGTGACTTCTTGGGCCGAGAACCGAATGACAGAGCTTTTTTCAAACTTTTGGGCCTCGATGCGGGCTAAGCAGTTTTCACACGGCATGCTTTGAAGTCACCATTCCCACCTTGGCTATCCTTCTTTCGTAGAACGGTTTTTTTACCGACTGTTCTTGTTCTTGTGTTTGCATTACTGCATTCCTCACGGTTGTCTCCTTCAGTTGCTGACCTTTCCTCCTTACATCCTCTCTTCCGACTCTCAAGACATCCCAGAATCTCGCAAACTAGATTGGGTGTCTTTTACTGGTCTCCTTATTCGACCCGATGAAATTTCTCTTCCGATTAAGTGAACATGTGTCATTGCAAACTAAACCCTTAACTACGGGCTTTTTATGTGGCCTACGGAATTACCACTGTGTTTTCCAATCCGAGGTTTGCTAGTTTATGCGTCACACTGTGCCGAGGTGCAAGTTTCGCGATGTTTTGTACAGTTGTACGGTTTGTTTGTCTTTTGTAACACTACCAATACTTATTTTCAACAGCGTTGCAGTTTCGCACGATTTCTTCGTGTTTGTTTTGGGGTTTTTCTGGACGTACGGGGATGCGAACTATTTGTTCTGTTAGTCAACTCCTTTCTGGATGCTTCCACCTCTTTGCACACACCCGCTGCGTCAATGTGTATTGTGTCCTATTTGGGTGCAATGCCGCTGAGACCAATCAATGACACGGTATGAGAGCTGGTGAACTGTTCGCTGAGCTTGGCAATTTGGTTGCAAACGTTTCGTCACCAATCGAGGTGACATCATCACTGCGTAGTTGAGTGGCGCGCAGTAGCGTAGAGGAGCCTCGGTATGAGAGCACTTGCAGAAAGACTGAATTAGGTTGTCACTTGTCATCCGCCTTCAGATCAGTAGCGTCCGTGTATTATTTCTGTCATTGCTGATTTGATTTTGGCTCTGTACGTCGGTTTTACAAACTGGTCTATTTCTGTTTCATTTTTCTGTGTCCTATTATGCTGGTAAGGTGAGCCAAGACGACTGGACCCACGACACTTCGGTGCAGGGGTCATAGCCGATGAAGTGAACTGCCAGTGTTGTTGCATTAGGTAATTCGATCGTAATCCGTAGTCTTATATTTGTGAAAAAAAGCGTTTCTGTCGCTGGTATTTCCATCAAATAACTGGAATACGCTCTCCGATTGTTTCATTTCCGACCCAGGCCAAAGAGTTCCGTTAGCACCATGCTCCGCCGTACTCGTTGAAGCCACGCTATCACACTCGCTTGTGTATAGAGTTTTAGGTATCATGCGTGGAAAACTTTGTTACAATAAATTATCGTCAGAATGCACGGAGCTCACAGACTTTCACGGGACAATTGGACTGTGCGTTGTAGTCCTAGCTGGTGCTAGGGTTTATGTTGAAGTACATAGGTACATCAACTCGACAGTCTCAACTGTATTTGATTTAACTTGGGACCAGCCGCGTTTCTCATTCACCGTTTGATCGGCTTTATCTTTATTGGATCTCGTCAAGCGGAGGTGGCGTTCCAAGATATCTATACCATTTCCCGGCCAAGTTGTCCTTTTGGGCAACAGAAATTATCTGAGGGGGGCATTCAACATGAGTCTACTCAATTAATTTGTTCCGTGCGTACGCCAGTCACTTGTGCAGGTGGGCTAAACCAACTTACACTTAAAATAGGTCTCTTTTTAAGCTGGATAAATTTCATTCCACTTCATTTTATTTGTTCTGCCTACCGGAATAATCTTCTATTAAATTTCCACGTTGCTTACGGAAATTGTGCTTATCTTCGTTAACTTTATTGCGTTTGTAGCATTTTCTGAGTCACTTCTGGACATTTTTTACTTATCGCGGATTTGTTGCTAACCAACATACTTCATATGCTAATTTAGGGAAGAGTTATGTCTGCATAGCCGTATTCTTTAACAAATATATTTTAGTTGTTACTGTTATTTCAAGTGATTGGCTGCTGTTTGACATCCCCGGTGCGGCTGCGCTTGATGTGTATGTTGACAAGGTGTCTACCTGTCTATTACCCACTACCTCGTCCATACTGGCTCTAGGAGACAGTTGGTCGTTGCTGGAGGGGACGGGGTGCACGGTCCTTGTGGTCGTGTTAGGCTCGAAGAGTGGTTCCATGCACTCAGTGTAAAGCGGACTACTGTCCAGCCACCGCCTTGTGTGCGCTTGATTCCTCAAATACAGTGTGCTTGTGTTTGCCTGTGAAGGAGTGTGGGCCGGCTCCGTTGATAAAACGTGGTTCCCACCCACATGCCTACCGATCTTATTCCTTCGGGTTTACACTGGATATGAGGTGTGTGGTTGGAGCTGTGGGTGGTGCAGCGCAAGTCATCCATGGTCCCTCTGTAGGCGCAAGCGTCCTGTGTCTGGCCACAGTGACAGGCAAATCCGAAACCGGATGCCGCCAGCCATAGCCCGTCGCCTTCAGCCAATTGGACCTCAGACGCACTAAGTCATAGGGGTGCAGGTGGGACGCTTCAGCTCCTATGCACGGAACAAATTAATTGAGTAGACTCATGTTGAGTGCCCCCTCAGATTATTTCTGTTGCCAAAGAGGACAACTTGGCCGGGAAATGGTGTAGAAACTACTCCACGATTTATCGTTCCCATTGAAACCCTGAGTACACCATTAGACTGAGAAACGGAATGAGTTCGTTACTTAACGGTCATCACGTTGTGTTTAGTGCTTAAATGAGTGGAATTCGAACCCGAGAATCGATAATTCTCGACACACACGCACTTCTTGTTCTCATCCGAGCAACACCGAACATTCCACTCCGCTTCCTGTGCAGTTGCTGTAATCGGAATGATTTGGTTTACTTCAAAATGAATCGTACTACAAATCGTATCTGCTTCTCACAACCTAGCACACAGTAATACTCATAAACTCATCGCTTAATTAATCCTTAATTACATAAATACGTTTCGTAAGGCCCTTCAGTGCGTGCGTTCCTTTCCCTTCCCTCCCACTGCACAAACAGTGTTTGTCTACACACGGGTAATCGAGTCCGCACGCTTGGGTAGTCCGATGTCAAAACAATTCACATGTCAAAGTATTAATATACTACAGCAAGAAACATTACAATATTTATCCAAATTTAAATGCAGATCGTGGACGAATAACGCGGCACGTTCTTCCCACTTGTCTGCGCTTCATTCGACCTTCATTAACCGTTTTCCTGGTTTCAACAACTTTGTGGTTACCAGCAGAATGAACCCGATTAACTGCGCTCAGTAGTTTCATTAATGTATGCTTGACTTACCAGCATTGCACATGTGGCCAAGCTAAGTCCGAACAGGTGCTTGGTGTGTAGCATGGTGTAATCGATGAGCACGTCGAAGCAGCCCTGTAGCAAACAAGTAATATGGTTAGTTATGACTCTATTATAGGTAGATTTTAGCAAATCTGTCCTCTTCGTGAGTAGAAACAAAAAACACCTGAACCTGAACTCGGACCCCGCAGTGCATATTTAGTGTTAACCAGGAGGCATGCAAGTTGCAACCATGGTTTTCTCCGCTGCCGTGCTTGGACTAACCTCAAACCCACCACTCGTGATTGAGAGGATCTGCACAGCGGCAACCAAGAATTGATTATTTAGTGAGATTACAGTTTGCTTGCATCAAAATAGAACACTCAACATTTCGTGGACATCCGAGGCACTGGCCTCTGCTATATACTCCAGAGATGCATATCTACTCGATTTGCACATGATCATGGCCACTCAACGAACCTAACATTTCCATGGAGACCGTGTGCCGTCAACACGTTCGCTATATTGCATGATGCCACTTGGAAATCGGTCACTTCTTATCTTTGACACCATGACTACTAGTTCATCGATCGACAGTACAGCAATTCCTTGATGGTTCTGCTCTAAGCGAGTGTTTTTAATGATACTTCTCTTCAACTTCTTGCAATACCACAGAAACACGTCTCACTTCGTTTGCTTGTCATTTCTCGGTCATTAGAGGAAGTTTCTCGCCCTCTACTATGCACCGAAACAAACTTATCAACAATAGGCTTTTCTCTGAACTCCGAACTTTCCTCGCACTATTGGGACGAATCAAGTGCTGTGCATCGATGTAAACATGATATTTCTCCGTTATCTCTTGGTCGCAAAAGGTTGTCTTTCAATTCCATCTTCCAAACTTTTACAAACCTATTTGACTGACTAATCCAATTCAGATCGGCCAAACAGCTATGATCCGGGCATCGAAGTGTGGTAGATCAAGCTGCCACAACTTTTGCCGCCAGGATAACAATAAAGGACAATAGTAAAAGTGGGTTGAACACAAGCAGAATACATAGAAAATGGAGTTAAGAAAAAAGCTACGTTTAACGGGGTTAGGACATAGCTGCTAAATAGGCTGGTAACCGAATGCCGGAGCGCCATGTCCGATAGGGTCTCTAACCCCTGATGTGCACCATCCCGAGGCTTGCATCCACGAAGACAGCACACACTCTCTTGACCAATGCTCTCAGTCACTTTTTTCGCACCTTTATGCAACATCATTGTCTGACCACCTCACAGCCTCGCCTAATTTGACCAACCATTGACTAGGAATATTCTATATTATATCAACCAGTCGCTTGATCTACAATGGGAATATGGCGTTCAAAAGTGTTTACTAAGTTTGTGGTCAGTTTTCGTGTATCTTAACGCTTATCCGTTCGTGCACATAACAACTGCTTAGAGCTTCCGGATGGGGATTAGGTTCGCAGTCATTTTTCAACTATACTCGTCCTCAGCCTTGTAGGTCTGTTGGGATTGCTCTATCAATGAACAGATGAATGCAAAGAACGAGCTCTTGTCCCTGAAAGACCGACTTTTTCGACCGCAGGTAACACCTTATTTAGTAAGTACCAGTTTATTTTATTTTTATAAACCATGAGCTCACTGGACTGCAAATTTGGTAAGTGTTCCTTGGCTTTTTCCTTCCACGTCAAATGCCTGGCGGTCGCACGAAGTCCTTCGAGTGAATCAATCGAGAATGCGGCCATCAGTAAGCCATTGGCACTTGCTAACCGGTTTTTTTTACGACAACGTGTTTGGGTATAAACGCTGGATTGTTGACAGGGGTGTTCGTTGCATTTCATGAATTGGTCTATTAAGGTGGACCGATACCTTTCCGGGCGGAACCCGTTTTTACACTAGATAAGATCAGTTGGCCTGGTTAGTATGTCTTTCTACCGCGCGCTATTCCTAGTATTCGACGATGGACTCCAGTTTAATTCTTCACACTTCCCGGAACTTTGTGCGTTACACGGCATGGAGTACGTTCGTTCAATCCCCTATCACCCCCTATTCTAATGGGCAAGCAGAACGATTTGTGTTTACCTTCAAGTGGTCTCTGCTCAAAGCCGAAGGAGATGGACCATTTCAAGAGGTCCTGCAGCATTTGCCTAATTCACACACTCCTGACAGCAAATTTCCAGCAAACTTGCTCCTGCTTGGAAAGTCTGGAACGTAATTTGACCTGATAACGCCACCTGAGAAACTCAACTCAGAAAGAAATATGACAATGGAACATCAATGCAACCGAAGACACCAAGCTTTACCGCGGCATTTTGATGTTGGCAAAAGGCTACCGAAACGATACAATCTCTTGGACACCTGGATTGATTGCAAAAGCTATGGCCATGTCTGCTGTGAAGTAGCGTTAGGCGATGACAAGTGGATCAACCATGCAAACCAGTTGCGGCTAACATCCTGCAAGCGGGAGACGACTAGGCCCGATGGGTTTCCCTTTAATATGCTGGCAGAGCATGTTAATCTGTTGAAAAATTCTTTGAACAGCGGTAGTCAACCGAGAAATGAGATGGGAACACAGAGCACTGATACCTTGTTAAAATCACTTTAGCCAAAAAGGCAAGACAACCGTCTTACGATAAAACGGCCATCACAAGAGGGGAGGTATTAGGGCGGATCGATGCATCTCCTGGCAGAACCGTATTTTCACTAGTTAACATTGAATTACCAGAGCTTGTTTGCTAAATTGCGTGTGAGCGAAACTCTGATTAGTCGAACTTTAAGCTGACCACGAATGAATCACTTCCAGATCAATAAATTATGATGAAGATTCAAGCTGGATGGGCCGTGTTTTGGCAGCTTGTACTGGTTACCGCACTTTTTCCTCCATAGTTTTCTGCTTTTTCGGTTAGATTGGGGTTTATGAAGAGCCTGATTGCTATGACCGGAATCGCATACGCTGTGTAGACATTATATAGTCTCTATGTCCATATCATCTTACCGGAACCCCATAATTAGTCGGGCGGCTCCTAACATCTGTTTACCTGTATCCGACCTCGTCTACAGGCTTAATTATGTCTTCATATAGACTGACGTCACCTTTCTGAGTCCTATTCTGGATAAGTGTCCCGAGACGTTTGCATGTTGTAGTGGTTCAAGTCAGTGCTTCTGCAGCAATCGAATGAGCACAGCTATATGTTGGTCTCGTTATTCTCTGTTGCGTCACTACTGCTCAACATCCACACTGCGTCTGATCTTGAATATTTTTTCTGCTGAAGCTTAACCGACTAGTCTGAGACTTCTCACGACTTCGCTTAAATCTACAATTCGCCCCATTGAAGTGTGCGGAGGGCATTCGCATCGGCAAATGTTCAGTGGCATTCTCTTCCACACACACGATTGTGAAAGTTAGCATATTGGTTCCGTAAATGTGTGCACATTGCACGCCTGTACCTTAGTCGGATCTTAAAGTGTGATCGACAAGTTTCTGATCTTTTCAATCGTTCATCGCCTGACTTAATTAAGCTAGGTAAGTTAAACGCCCCCATCAGAAAGGACCGGGTGACATTCTGCTTTACCGTCCATAGTTTGTTTAACGTGAACAGTTGTGAGTGTCGCTTAAATCCGGTTCGGAGAACAGCTAAAGCACGTCAAGTACATAAGCTGGTAATGAGGACTTTTCATGGAATGTACTTGAATTTACCCATCTTCCCTCTCATACTCGAGGCGCGTGCGCCCCAGGTCGAGCGCATTACTCTGGCTTGCATCGTTGCCAGAAGTATGTTTTAACCGCACTACACACTCCACAGCATCTAGTGAAGTTCTTATGTACTGGGATAACCTGTCATAACCACGAAGATCGGATGTACATGGAGTTTGCAATGGTCGTGGTTACTTCGCCACGTCTACTGCCGCCGATCGAAGCTCAGCCACAATAATAACCTGAGGCGTCAACAACTGTCCACAGCGGAGCATTATAGCCACTTGGAAATGCGTTCGGAACTTGCATTTTCTTCGGGCTCAAAAATCGCTTGTTTCTGCCCCCATCTTGGTTCTCCCCAAAGTACTGACGAACATCACATGTGATTTGCTGCGTACGATCTCTTAAACTATGTTGTATGAAATGTTGCTTGTCGGCCAACGGGTCTTGTACAAAAAGAGAACACCGTGAGTAAATGTGAATTATTACTTTCATCTTAAGGCTCCCAGGAAAACCCCTTTACGTCATTCCCTGCACTAGAAAACAGTTTTCAACCGGACACTCCGTCAGGACGTGTAAGATACTTGCTTCCTTGCTCGTGACATATAATCGTGTTGGTTGTTTGTTTTCATGTATTTTGGCTTTAGGTTCCTGCAGTTCTAGTCATTATTGACCCATCACGTCTACTCCACTCTATTACCCACCACAAGCTATGGTGTGAAATCGCGCAACAATGGATTGCATTCCAAAAATGATGTGATCATCTTTCGTTGCGTCACGCTCGCCGTGACTGTGGTTATGGGTGCTTGCTTGCTTACGTAATCCAGATGGAGGCATCTGACCAGCTCACTGCAATCCGAGTGTGATGGAAGCAATCCGTCGCGTTTTTGACTCTCTTGCTTCACGCGGTATCCTGTTTTGCAAAACAAGATTCAGCGACTGACTGTGTTATCCCTATAACTCGCGCTACAATCAAAATATTCAGTTTACCTTGTCATAACTTCTGCCCGCTCCAGCATCGGAGTCGTCTAGAGCTTTCCTATCACCGCTTACAATGATTCTACATCAGGAGGGCTATGACCTTGAGATCGAGTTGTATCCTGATTGCTTAGTCATAATTACTTGACGCGGCATTCTCATTGATCCGTATTCGACAGTGGGCACCGGAAGATTCGGCGCCATAGTCCTTGGCGTCTGTCAGGTTCTAGTCTCATTGTCATTATTTTTTTTCCACACTTGGTTCCTGTTACTTTGTTTTCTTATCAAGAGACTCAGATGATCTGCCCTTGCACAACTACCTTAACACCCTTTTTCAAACAAGCTTCGGCTCCGACGTTTGTTCGAATTGTTTCCGTAAGGCATCTTTTATTTTCTAATACGTTAATGGCTCGCGAAC